TATCGTAAACCCCAAAAAGTTGGAAACCGGATTGAGGACAATTCGTGCTGGCATTCCCTACCCATTACTCTGTGGGATTGAGGTTATTGGGTTTCTAGCTTTTGGGCTTCTACTGTAGGGGTTCAGGGGTTTGCGGCTTTAGGTGTTACGGTTTAGGGGTTTAGGGGTTTAGGGTGTTAGGGTGCTAGGCTTTAGGGGTTCAGGTTTTACGGCTTTAGGGTGTTAGGGGTTTAGGGGTTTAGGGTTTACGGCTTTCGGGTGTTAGGGTTTAGGAGTTTGGAGGTTTGGGGCTTTAGGGTGTTTGGGTTTAGGGGTGTAGGGGTTTCCGGCTTTAGGGTGCTAGGGTTTAGGGGTTTAGGGGTTTACGCCTTCAGGATGTTAGGGTTTAGGGTTTTAGGGCTCGTGGCTTTGGATGTTAGGGTTTAGGGTCTATAAGTTTAGAACTTAAAGCTTAACACCGCCGAAGCACCAATTCACTTGAACAGCAAATTGCAATAGTTGGAATACCTCAACTCATGCAAGTTCATAATGTCGATGAATTTGCCCGTCTGTATGTCTGTCTACCTGCCTGCCCGCCCGCCTGGCTGTCTGTCTATTTATTTGTCTGTCGATCTGCCCATCCCCTAAACCCTAATACCTCAAGCGGCCTCAACTCCAGGGAAACAACAATCCAAGACTTTACTGATGCACGTGGGCTCCCTAAGATTGTAGTTCTTGGAATAAACCAACTGTGGTTTAGGATCCCATAAGGTAACCCCCCAAATACGAAGTATCCTGCAGACTACAGGCATAGGGTTTAGCGTATCTGAGTGTATGCACAGATCTAACCTATACGGGAGTCAAGCAGTCCCCAACAAAACTCCCATAGACCCTAAACCCTGAACCCTGAACCCTGAACCCTAAACCCTGAAAACCCTGAGCCCTAAACCCTGAACCCTAAACCCTGAACCCTAAACCCTAAACACCGAATTCTCAGAGGACATGACTTCCCACTAGAGACCCTGAGTCCCGGGAGAGAGTGAAGGCCTGAATCCGCAAAAACCCGGGAGCTCCACTTTCGGAGAATATGGACTTGGGTTTTGGGGTTAGGGTTTAGGGATTGGGGTTTATTTAGGGCTTCGGGGTCAGGGCTCAGGGTTTAGGGTTGTAGGGTTTAGGGCTTAGGGTTTAGGGTTTGGGGATTAGGGATTAGGTTAGGGCTTAGGGTTTAGGGCTTAGGGCTTAGAGTTTAGGGTTTAGGGGCTTCGGGTTTAGGGTATGACATTTCTGGTTTATTCGTAGGCTTTGTGTTGTTAGTTCAGGGCTTATTTCAAGGCGTATAGAGTTTCGGCTAGGGCTTGAGAGCACCAAAACAGTTGACAGCCTCGTTGAGCTTGGCAATAGTGCTCGACAACGTAAAGGCGTCGTCTGTGAAACATTGGCCTCTGTTCAAGACGGATGGCACGTGTGCCCTACTTACTTTATTATTCGAGACTGTCAGACAGGAAAGGGGCCCGTGAGGACGGTTTCAGATCCAAGCCATAGCACGTCTGGCATGCAGAACAACGAGGTCTCCATGCCAGCCGCACCGCGTTTCCGGCCGTTGATAATAAGGATTCTCTGATTCGTTGGTTTTAGAATGCCTCATCGTCTGGAACTCTTCATTCACTCTCCACTACTTCTAGCTATGCGACTTCTGACACGAGATGTGACTGAAAGCATGATTAACTGCAAGGTTTATCAAGCTTATGACATGGAGTAGACAGTAGCAGTACGTGAGTCATGCTTCTGAAGCCCTAGTCGAAGGCATCTGCCTTTTTAGGGGTATTGCGCTGCCTGTGAATCAAGGGTTTCCTACAAAGCCTGAACTTGGAAACCTCACAGCACCTCCGAAAGAACAGCCCTACACCCCGCAGCACAAACCTTAACTGGAATCATGTGAATCCGAAAGCGCTCGAATAGTACGGCTGCAACTTTCTATGAGGACTTTCTTGAAGGTTCATGCGTAGTTGTGATATAAGTACCCAAATATAGGTTTAACCATAAGTTCTGCTACTTAACTGCCCATGAACCCTTAAGCATCCGCGGGACGTCTCACGGTCACCTAATACAGGGGCCTTAATAATTAGAATAGGGTTTTGGGGGCCCATTATACTATAATTCTAACAAGGAACCCCCAAACTAGTATAGGTAAATATTTAGGCCCCTATATTACTTGCATGATCGGGCATTTCGTGGTCTTTGAAGGCGGACTTGAATATGCATGGCCTTGTCGCAACCCCCCGTAACCAAATCCTAAACTATACTGACTAGTCAAGTCCGCCGGACCTGAAAGTAATGTAGAGAAAAAACATTAGAATAAGGTTTTGGGGTATGTGATTACCATAATCACGACAGGGAACCCCAAAACAGCATGTGGCCTATTGGTAATTGTATGGCCTGGGTGCAAAACTTCTGACGCCGGAAACAGAATAGGGTGTTGGGGCCCCATTTACTATAATTATAATAAGGAACCCCCTTACCTAGTATCGGTAATTAATATACCCTAAGCCCTAAACCCTGAACTGTATATATGTAGGCCCCTCTACTATAATTAAAATAAGGAACCCCCAACATAGTATTGGTAATTATTTAGGCCCCTACATTAGGAGCCCAGCCCAAACCTTTGGGGATGGATGACACATCGAAGAAGTTTAATAGGGTTTTGGGGTTCCTCCAAAGGGATCCTTCAAGGGTTCTATAAGGGATCTATAATAATAGGGTTCTATATTGGGGGCTGCAACGATTAGAATAGGGTTTGGGGGCACACCACACTACGATTAAACATAAGGACCCCCCCCAAAACAAAAAAACTATTCTAATTCTTAAGGCCGCTCCAGTACTATTTTTCGACACCAAAACCCTGAAAGCTTGGCCCTAAATCCGACAATCAAACCCTCCTCGCAGCCCTTTCTTAGGGTTCGACTTGGTAATTTTCAAACATGTGGAAACCAGAAAACGCTGAACAGAATCATCCTTAGCACAAACAGTTTAGGGTTCAAGGTGATGTAAAGACCACAACATAGAAAGCCATACTTCTTTTAAACCTCCCCTGCACACATTTGACTGTGCACCGGGCAGAACGTCACAGTCGCCAGTTGCCAGGCTCGCCCCAGCCTGATGCACGAAGTTTGGGTGAATCTTGGTCTACCACAATACCAAAAAATAACCTCTAATATTAAATAATATACGGGCCTTAATAATTAACATGAGGTTTTGGGGCCCATTATACTACACTTATAATAAGGAACGCCAAAGAATAGGATAGGTAACTATTTCGGCCCTCATATTAGGTCTACCACAGAACCTAAAGCTATTAGGCCCCCATAGTAGGTCGACCACAACACCTAAAGCTATTAGGCCCCCATAGTAGGTCGACCACAACACCTAAAGCTGGCCTCTAACCCTAAACCATTAAACCCTAAACCCTAAACCCCTAAACCCTAAATCCTAAACCCTTAGAGGCGGTATCGACTCTGGGGCCTAGGGTTTAGGGGTGCAGGGTGTGGAGTAGGGAATTCACGGGCTCGGAAAGCCGAATCTGACTCATGCGACTGTCCCAAGGAGGGTTTAGGGTTGAGGGTTGATATGTGGAAACCGAAAGTGTATAGAACATGCTATTACTTGCAACGCTTGGGTGTTGAAGTATCCTAAACCCGAAACCCTAATCCCTAAATCCTAATCCCTAAATCCTAAACCCTAAATCCGAAATCCTAAACCCCTAAATTTCTGAAACTTCCGCCTTTCTGTAGCCCGACTCGAAATCTGCGGGATCGGGATCTTACTCCGAAGGCCCTAAACCCAAAACATGACCCCTATAAAAACTAAACAGATGGATCCCTCCAGGAGGGCCATAAGTTATAAAGCCCGAACGCTATGCATACATATTTATATATATATATATATGCATATGTATATATATATATATGCATATATATATATATATATATGATATGATTAATCATTTATGTGTGTAACTATTTATTTATCTATTTATGTAACCTTTTCTGACAATCCTTGGAGAGCCTTGTTAAATGACGTCCCGCCTGCCTTCCTCGGCCTCTTGCGGACCCGAATCCTACATGCAATAAGGCTGACCTTCGTTTAAAGGAAACTACAGGTGTGGAGTTTAGGGTACAGAGGGGGCTTCTACAAGGCTTCCATGAGGTATATAGACCTTCTATAAGGCTCCTATAACCGTAACTACCCACCTGAAAATGTCCCAGACTTAACCCTATGAATCCTTCCTTTTTCGGGTTCCTTGTTATGATCTCTTTATAGAAATCCTTAAAGGGGTAGGCTCTTTAAGGTCCGGTAACCCCCGAAGCCACAAATCCTGGTGGAAGCCCGAATATGTGGTCAGAATGGGCATGGGGTTGTCAGAACCATGACAAGAGCCCTCCTAAATTACCCAGGTCTCGGGGTCCAGGAAAGGGGCCCTAAAGCCTAAACCCTAAACCGTAGGGGGTTCCTCAAGGGGTTCAGGAATCTTTCACCCTAAACCCTAAACCCTAAAACCTAAACCGTAGGCTCAACTTCGGACGCGTCGAAAGCCC